TAAATCACGTGTACCAATAACAATGCGAGTTATTTTTAGTCGGAAATTTTTTTGGGGGGGTCGCTGTGTTACTTATCTGTTATCTATGCATATTGTTCAGTCGAACCTCCATATAATCACCTCCCATATAATCACAAAATCAATATAGTCACATTTTTCCAGTTTCCAAGCATAAGAAATTTGACCTCCATATAATTTAAGATCGGATTGTACATGCGGTTTTTTCGATAGTGCACTTGTTTTGGCGATTTGCTTTTTTTGTTTAATGAATAAGAGTGTTTGTTAGATTCTGCATAAATTAAAGTTTCACAAATTAATGATTTTTTCTCATATATACCATATATCTCACTTTCCCAAAAACAAGAACGCATAGAAAAGAGTTTTTCTTTAAAAACTCGAATCTTTACTCATCTCTATAAACTCCATTAAATAAAGCATAGAAAATGAAGGTCATATTTGTCAACGTTACTATTATTTTGTATATTGTTTGTGCGTTATTATTTTCGTTTTCTGCAGCCGATAATAATAACGATAATAATAACAATAGTAGTAATAGCAATAACAGCAATAATAACAGCAATAATAACAGCAATAGTAACAGCAATAATAGCAGCACCCCTACCAATAACAATAACAACAATAATAACAACAACAACAACAATAATAATAACAACAACAATATTGCTGGAAGTGTTATAATTAACGTTATTAAACCTTATGAAAATGACAATATTTATGTCGGTAAGTTAATTGTCATCTATCTCCGTAATTGCTATTGATCATTATTAAGCATTATCTATTGAATGTAACGTTAGGAAAACCCTATAATATTACGTGGGAAATCCAATCTGCGATTCCACAAGATCCTCCCTCCGTATCTATTACACTTCTTCTCGGTGCCAAGAATAGTTCCCGTTTTATTTCCAATATCGCTACTGATATATCAGTGACAGATAAAATCTATTTATGGTAAATAATATTTTTTATTTCTATTCCATTTTTTATAGTATTTTTTATTCGATTGTATTTTTATAGGAATCCACAAGATGCATCACTTGCGAATGGAACGTACACCGTACGAATCTATGAGCCGCAATCCGCGCCAAAAGTAGACGGATCCTCTAAATCGTTTACTATTATCAACACTAAAAACACTTCTGTTATAACGACCAGTTCTTTTGGCGGCAATAATCCCGCGAATACAGCAACATCATCTCCTGCTTCCACTTCGGGTAAACCAAACATTTTAAATGTTGGACCGAAAATACAACCTTATATTTCAACCGTATTCCTGTTAATCATCACGATTATTCTTGCTTCTTTTTATTCACTCCAGTAAATTATCAGGATAAAAAGTTTTGTATTTTATTTTTCCCTTAATATTATTGTGAGGTTTCTTTTTCCAGTTAAAAAAAATAACATAATCATAAAAGATGATTTCAACAAGTAAATGAAGAAAATGAAGATGTAATAATAGAGAAACAAAAATAAAATCATTTCAAACATGTTCTACATTAAGAACAACTTTACCCACGGTTTTACCTGATTGCAATAATTGAATTGCTTCGTGTACTTGTTCAAGCGGGAATTCATGACCTACTAATGGTGGGTCTAATTCCAACGATGATAATTCATCAAAAATGCTAGTGAGCTTATCTTCTTGATGGTAAATATGAATCAAGTTAAATCCCAGAATCTTTTTTTAATTGAAAATAAAAAAAATTAAAATCTAATCGAAATATAATTTATTCGAAAGAGGAAATTATCCTTACTCCTTTATTATCCTTAATCATATTCATCGGATCGAATTTTGGCCGTTGAAAATATTTCCATGCCAACTTTATCCATGAAAAAATATTCCATATAGGATGCAAATTACCAGCTGGCGTCAAACTCGCAGAACCATATGCTATTAATCGGCCTGCACTTTTCGTTAATCTATAATTTGGCCAAAACCAATCACCCATAATACTATCCAACACAATATCAAATCCTTCTTCGCCCATTTTTTCTAGTTCCTTTTTTGTACGTTCCTCAAAATCCCGGGCAGGATCGCGTAGAATAAAAGAAAAATTTGGATTATCCCCATATCGAGTATTTAATAAATCGAGCTTAGAGTTGTTACCAACAGTTCCGATTGCTTTCGCTTGAAATTTCGCGAGAATGGCGAGTGCTAAAAGTCCTACTCCTCCAGCAGCAGAATGAACTAATACTGTTTGTTTGGGTTTGAGTGCGCCAAGTTCTTTGAGTGCATAAAAAGCTGTCATCCCTTGGGCCTAACGGGAATGTTAATACAATTTGAAATGAATTTAAAAATACTTTTCGAATCGATAAAAAATCGCCTACCAAGAAGGCACAAGCCTCTTGATCGGTCCATCTTTCGGGTGTTTCCTTAACATACACGATTGTTTGATTGATAAAAGTTGCGAACCCGCCGAACCTTGTAACACCATAAACTCTTTTTCCTAGCCATTTCTTTTGGTCAACATTCTCTCCAACCGCCTCAACTACGCCAGAAAATTCTAAACCCGGAATAAATTTTTCTTTTGGGGTTGCTGAATAAACACCCAAAATTGCGAAAATATCCGCAAAATTTAATCCAATGCAATGTACTTTTACGCGGACATTATCTGGAGGTGGAGGTGGCAGCAAGTCGTCTTCGAACTTTAGATTATTTAAGGTACCAGTGTGAGCAATAGCCCAAACTTTCCGGGGTTGAGGAACCGACATTGAAAAATGATGTATGAAAATCCACTAATGTGGACTTGGTCAAGTATAGACATTTATCAGGCGATTTTAGGGAAGGGTCTGAATCAGCCAATTTAAAAACGGTTTTTCTGGCTCTGGCATTAAAGCACGTGATCTGCAGTCATATGAATTGTGACACTCATTATTAGGGGATTGATATATATTACGTAATTAACAGGGGGGAGGGGGGTCTCAAAAATCTCACCTGGGGGGGGGAGAGGGGGGTTACCTCTATAGTAACTCGATATTATGTAATATATGTCACTCCCCTTATCGTTATTGAACATTTAATTATTTTTTCAAACTAATTTCTGAATAAAAAACACAATTTTATGATCTTTATCATGCTTCATAAAAAAAACTCGCCTACTTTCAAAAATAATATTTGTGTAATAAAGATCGGATCAACTAATAGAGATACAGATAGAATTAATAAGAATTCTAATCTAATTACCAAATGACAAAAATTGAATTATTCTACCAAAAATATACATCTTCCCAAAAACAAATAAATTATTATACCAAAAAAAAAAAAAATAAAAACCACCAAAAACAAGTAAATAATTCTACCTAAAAAAAAAATAAAAAACAGTGACCTAATATTATTAGAAACTTTTCCTAAATCACGCAAGTTTTAAATATATATACATATATAAAATGTACAAGGTCAACGAATAATAGAAGATGGTATCTGTTGTACTATCTTTGCATGCTGCTTTATTCGTTTGTCTTCCTCATTTCCATACCAAAACATCATCCATTGGGAACCAGGTATTCGAAGATTTCCATCGGATCTTTCAAAATACCTTTTTTATTAAAAAAAATTTACATAATTACTTCGCAAACTCTACAAAACACATTCGCATGAACCAAAACCAAATATTTATTACTTACCATTTATTAATAGAATTAGTAGCCCGTGCCCTCCATATAAGTTTCGGGTACTTTATTTGTATTTGTTTCCACACAAGATCAGCCACGCCAGTTCCCTGGTGTCCCGGATCAACCGCCAACTTATCCATATACGGAACTACATCTCTATTTAAATCATCATTATTGTTCTTTTCCACAGAAGCTGATTCCATGGTCATCACGGCCACGCCTGAATAATCACCAGCAACAATAATAGTATCAACACATTTCTCCATTCTTTTTAGATAGTTTTCTAAATCTAACTTCTTCCCAAAAGAAGTTTCGACAAGCGCTTTAAATGCCAGGATGTCAATAGTGTTGAACGAACGATGATGTGTAACTTTCATTCCTGCTCGTAACATGGTAGTAGTAGTCCATGGGGTAGTTGGTGAAGAAAGCGGTAATGAAGAGGAGAATAGTGGTTTATCGGTGATAAGGTTCGAGAGCAAGACAGTTGGCGCATAAGCTGGCACAATGATTCCCGATGAGGTAGATGGTAATTTTTCCAAACAAATCTTCATCATATCTAAACTTTCGAGACCTGTTGGGTGCGTGTCATGCCATAGTGGATTAACTTTGTAGTCTTGTTTGATTTGTTCGTATTCTTCTTGTATATTAATGAATACATGTGATCCACGACGTTCTTGCGATGGAATGCCTCCTTCGGAATTTATTATTATTATTTTCATGGGTTCTAGTTCTGGTGATTTTATACAATCAATATCAGAGAGGTTTGACAATGCATGCGAGAGAGCAATCATCGCGGTATTTGCTCGTACAACTTGTTGTTTTGATGCTTTATCTATCACAATAGGAAGAATTAACGGTATCTGACTGAGTTGTAATGATGATTTCAACCAAGCTAATGAAACGTCTATATCTCCGAGGCCAGGAAATCGTGTAGTTCGTATTTTTTTCTCGGTATCCAAGTCAGAAAAATCTTGTGAATTTTTATCAATAGTGAAAACACTATTATATATAGGCGTGGCTCTACCCCCATTTTGTTCGATCGCATCACAAATCAGTCCAGCCTCGATAATCATTTTTTGAAACAATTCTCGAAACCTGGATGACCCTTCCAAAATCATCTCCTTCCAGTCCTCATTCCCAACTACCACAATCGACATCAACCCCAACTTTTGCAAATGTAGTAATGTTTTCGCGATGTCTTTGCGATTCAACTCATTCAATGGCCCTTGTATTTTTATCAGGGCAATGTGATTAACTGAAGGAGTTAATAATGAATCGATGAATTTTAGCTTTGTCATGACACGCTTTAAAGATTTTCCGGTGAGAACCTCTTCATGTTTTTCTTTTGACTCTGATTGCTGTTGCTTTTGTTCATTTGAATTTTGCTCAGGATTCGCGAATCGTTTAACGAGCGTACGAGCTTCTCGTTGGCTTGGTGTTGTTTTTAGGACGTCTATCAGAAGATCCTATAAAATGACGAGCAATCCAACATAGAATACAATAATAATCATCAAAATATATTTCATAATGTGATAGAGACGATATGTATAAAGAGTAAATATAAAAATTAGCAAAATATTCTTACAGCAGCACCTCGCACATAAATTTTCACTCTTTCAAAAAAAACTTACGCGATCAAAGTTGATCGGCGGTATTGCTGGATGTTCAGCTGGTAAATTTGTATTAGGCGTGGTATTCTGCACCGCATTCTTTTAATAGTAATTTGGCAATCACGAATAAAATAATAATAAAATGATGACAATTATAAATAAAAGATATATACAGTTTGTATCAGTTAAATTTGAACTAATATAAATTATGCGTTTTTAATGAATAGTATTTTACACTTTAATAAGTTGCTAAAGCCACTAAAATAAATTCTACAAACTTGCTCATTCATTCTTATTTACTCTTATAATAATAGCTCTATCCTTTCTATAAGGAATACTTACGCCAAAAGAGGCTTTAGACGAGTGATACACACGAAACAGACTTTTCTGTGCACTATTATACGTTATATGCTGATATTGAAAGTTGTGAATGTGATGACCATTGACTAAATTTCTCAAATTTAGCTCGTGTCGTCCGGCAAAAGAAGGAACTCTGGTCACCATTATTGTACTATTATGAAGTAGTTAATAAACTGGCATTATATATAGTTCAACGAAATAGTCTGTTTGAAACTACACTTGAGTTTATCGACTAATGCGTCCACATTTCAACAAGTAGCTTTATTATCGTTAATCTCAAGAAATGTGTGATCATTACTTCGCTATTAATCATAGAATTTGATCGAGGATTTTTGCCATTTTGGTTTAGGCAAATTTGCCTGCATAATTTCCAGATTTTTTTTAGATGCACAATCTACGTCACGTTGACGTATGGTATGTACACGTATTGACGTAAATAAAGTATATTATGCTGTCAGTAATCGTTGCAATCAAGTAGTTTGTTTCGCTGATTAGGCAGAAAAAATGCGGTTCGGTCCAAAAAATAATTTTCGTAGGCTAAAAAGCATGTGTCTAGTCACAGATAACAACGAGACTATGCAGTCAGCCTTATCAAAGGTTTAATTATCTCACTTCAGATATGGAGGTCTTTGAAGACAAAAGTTCCGGCTATGTCAGAAAAAGCATCGAGGGCCAGAAGAGATCTATCAATAACCAAGGAGAAGCAAATCAACTGGAGATAGGTGTGGTCCAGAAATTGGTACAATGTGAGTAGCGGCACATTTCTTTATTTTATGTCAACATTATTTGCATTCAAATTCATTACTGTTAATTAATGAAACACTTGATGATGCAGGTATTCGCTATTGCCTCTTGTTTGCTCCATATTGTGATATATACAGTGCAATAGCAATCACAATAATTGTGAGAATTGCTGAATTCTTTTTCTTAGAAAGCCAATGAGGCATTCAATTATTATATTTATGGTATCGTTACCGAAGCTGCCATCCACAATTTAATATGTATGAGATTTACTATTGTGACCTCGATAGTAAATCATTAATTATCGTTTGTATTTTATTATATAGGACAATTTATTTGTTAGCCTAGTCCACTTTATCAACAAATTACAGGTCAATTTTTACTTCGACGTTTTTTTCGCATTATAATACATCACGTGGATCATAATCATCAGATCCCATCCATTCTTTCAAGGACAGCTCAAATTCGATTCTTAAATCATGTGATCTTATCGAATTCTTTTAAAAGTATTGGGATTTGCCATTATCTATCAGTAACTTACAAAACAAACAAACAATATGTTTTAATAAGTTAAACTTTCAACATGACTCGATTATTTAAATAACAAAGATTATGTTTTATACAAATTAAACTTGTCTATTTTTATGAAAACTGAATTTATGAATGAAAAAACATTATTTTTGAATAATATTACAGTTCAAATATTATTTTGATATGAATTTTAACATATTACATGATTTATTTTCATTGAATAATTAATTTATATGTGATTTATAGATTAATTCTCTATTATTTATATTATTATAATATAAATATTTAGTTCTTATTTTATTGGTTAATTCATATTATAATTTAATTGGATAAAATTTTATTGATTAAAAATTAGTTTTAATTTAATTAAATAATTAATTAATATTGTTATCATTTTGATTAACTTTCAAAATACTCAAAGATATTTATAAAAATTAAAGAAATATTCAAAGGGAACTTTCAATATCTTAATAACAAATCAAAATATTAATAATACTTTGTAACTATTAGACTGAATGTGAATAAGTACTAAAAATACTAGTGACAAAATTACTTAAAGATTGATAACAGTTATATTTTTTAAACACAATAATCTGAACTACTAGAAGAATCAAAGATGATTAAGAAATTTAAAAAAATGAAACAAGCAAGAATTGGGAACAAACCAAAATGAGAAAAAAATCTAAAAAGAAAAAATCTCAAAGTCAAAATTATAGAAATTATAATATTCATATTATTAGCAATACAAGATCAAAAGTGAATAATATATTATCAGCAATACAAGATCAAAAGTGAATTTATGAGTAATATATTATTAATAATATAATCTCAAAGACAAATTTATAAATTATAATAATAATTTCTTTATTCAATATAATATTCAATAGGTTTTGTCACAAACATGTTCAAATAACCTAGTATTAAGATGATAGCTTTTATAGTGCTCCTAGTAAATATACTTAAGCTACTATAATATTAATTCAAGAACTGTATAATACTTATAATAAAGATATTAAAGTGATTATACAAGAAACAAAAATACTTTGTCAAAGAGGTGTAGTGAAGAGTTTGTGCTTAACTATCAACTCTATATAAAGTGCAAACTTTGCTTATATAAATGATCAAAAGTATATGATAACTAGTTATAAGATAATAATTAGAAATATTATCGAAGACTTATTCTAATCTAATTCTAATAACTATAATACATATTGCTTTTATACATATTCAAATTATATTTTGTCAATTATATGAATTCATGTTCGCTAGTTTACTTAAATTCTATTGATTTAATATTTACTTATTTATTCACTTATTTACTTGTTTATTTACTTATTTGTTCATTTACTTGTTTATTTATTTGCTTATCTCACATGATTAGATTCTTCTAATAAGATATAATTTAATAATATTAAGTATAAATAATCCAATAAAATATTTGATCAAAGTTTATTATATAATAATATTTTATTATTGGTTTTTTATTTGTATTAATGATATTAATACTTATATAAATATCAAATAATATTAATAATACTTGTAATCAAATAATTTATAAGATTAATACTATTAATAAAATTGATTTATAAAATTAATACTATTAATAAAATTAATTTATAAAATTAATGATGTTAATGAAATTAATTTATAAATTAATAATATAAGTATTACAAGTAATTATTATAAATATAAGAATATAAATTAAATATATATTGAATCTTAGTTTTTCATATTATTATAAAATACTAAAAGATTTTGTTATTTAATTATATAATTTTAATTAGTCATAATAATTATTATTGATTAATTTAAAAATAAATAATAAAAATAGAATTTTATTTTATATATAAATATTATAGCAAAAATCTTCTGATAAAGTTATAATATTATATGGAATATTATACAAGTTACCAATATATATAATATTTTGACCTCTTTTATCAAGATGAAATTGAGAATAAGAAGATTTAAATTGTTGTTATGACTGGAAATTTTCATAATTTACATAATTTATATAATTTACATAATTTTCATAATTTACATAATTTATATAATTTTTATAACTTCTATAATTTTCATAATTTTGATAATTATCACAATTATTGTAATTACCATTATTTATAACAATTATTGTAATTACTACAATTTACATAGTATCTATTATTTATCATTTTTATATAATTATAACATTTATTAATGAAAAATATTTATTATAAACAAAATGCAATTGAAGCTTTGAAAAAAAGACATCAATTAATTAATACAAAAATCTAGCTAGTCAATAAACTGTTCTTATTTATTATTAATAAAATTTGTATATTAATTGATTGAATAATAACTTATTAAATACTTGTATTTATTGCGCACTATTGGACAACTGTCAAAGTTACTATAGAATATCAGTATTATATTGCTATAGAACTGTTCTACACTAAGTAGACATAATATCTATTAGTAATAATGAAAGTCTATCTATGAGATAGAAAAAAACACATTGTGTGGTGATCCTGAAGTATACTTTTACAACAAGATCGAGTAACTGTAAAATTACTGTCATGATAATACCAACCAGGAGCCTGATCATGACAATGACAATTTACTTTGAATTTTATAACTGAATAGTGTTTATGATGATAAAATGATGTTGTTATGATCAGATTTCTGGTAGGTATTATTGTGATATAAATATTCAACCAACGTCTGATGATGATAATTTTATAATTACTCAATCTTTTTGTAATGAATATTAATAGAACTTTGAAATACTCAAGAGTATTTATAATATTCAAAGGGGAAACTCAAATATCTTAATGACAATTCACAGTCTTAATAATACTTTATGACTTTAGACTGAATATAAATTAAAATATGATAAATACTTATAAGAATCACTTAAAGATTAATAATAATTATATTCTTTTAACGCAATAACTGAACT